GTGGGGTTCAGCCCGGACACTGGGGTTAACAGCTAACACCCCTAGTCCTACAACCAGAGCCAGGATCTTTTAATGACCGAGTAATCAGGGCCTCAGTTTAATATTGGAAACTGCAGCCGTAGCCTAGCCCCGAAAACGGCTGTGTCTCCCTGAGACTTTGGCCCGTTGCTGGCCGGAGAGGAAGAAGGCTGAGCTGCTGTTCACAGGGGAAGCTCTGTGGTAGATGTGGAAAATATCGCAGTAGGTTTTCACGCCCTTATCTCTGTCAGAATGACTTCTCAGAAAGGCTCGTGATGCTCCCTGCTCTTGGGGAGATGGTGCATCCTTGTAGCTAGAGCTTTGCCTCCAGATGCTCATTGCGAGAGGCTTGTCAGTCACGTAGACAGATTGTCATGAGCCCCACTTGCTTGCCGAGACCCTGTTTTTCACACCGTCTTTAACTTTTTGAAAAGCCGGACAGAGTTGGTCACTAGCGTGACGCGTGTACCAGTTTGCTGGTTAATGTTTTCATTTATTAAAGCTACCGTGTCATTTTTATTTTTTACTCTTCAATTAACGTCAATATCATGTTCACTGTTAAATTTTGCAAGCAATGAACCATGAAAACAGATGGTAATTTAGCCAATTTTTGGTGCACTTAATTAACAGTGAACATTTCTGGAATGAAGGTCTGAGACCCTGGGTCACCAGCACCTGTACTGAGACTCCCTGCTTCCCAGCCTCTCCCCGGCGGCGCTGTCCCAGGACAGCAGTCAGTGATCCTCGCTCGTGGTCCAGAAGAGCCACAGTCCTGCAGGGTTACAGGCGACTCTTAACTCCTGGATGACTAAAATAGTCATCGAGTCCAGGTCAGTTCATAATTGAGTCCGCTGCTCCCCTCGGAGCTCAGGGCAGATGAACAGCGGACGGCTCCGGCTCTCTCGGACCAGGAGAGAGGAGGACTGCTGTAAATCCAGCAGGGGTGTCGTGCAGAGTGAGACGGTGGGAGGCCTCACCCCCAGAAGCACTCCCTTGCAGTGATGCTGCAGTGCGCACCTCCGCTGGGTTTACCTCCATCCCTGGCCTGGTTCTAGACCTGTCGGCAGGCGAGTCTTGACGGTGTGGGAGACAGGGCTGTCGAGCTCTGGGCCTCTAGGGGTGCTGCTCAGCAGGGGCCTATAGGTTTCTTTACATCTCCTTCTTCCTAAGAACAAGGACAGACTTCAGCTTGTCCAGAGGGACTTCATTCATATAATAAAAGAGGGCTCTGGCGATAGGAGAATCTGCAGCCTTCTGGCGCTCTGCAGGAGACGCCTTCCTGCCTCCCTGCAGGCTGTGGAGACGTTCAGGAGGGGGTGAAGAAGAAGACACTGCGCTCCGAAGCATTGCTCAAGAAGCCCTGCCTGTTGAAACTTGAGTGCTGTTGATGGAGAGATACTCTTGTGCGGCTCTTGCAACACTAACAGTGGTCTGTTATCGATGCAGAAGTCAAGTCAGTTTTTAGGTGCCACTGGCTGTTTATTGACCTTGCGTTATTTATCCCGTTCGTTCACTGAAAACACATTCTCGTTGACAGTGATGATCTGGAGACTCGTCTATGCAGCAGGACTTCACTGGAGCTGGGCAGCATAGCTCCTGTTCTGTATGGCCATGATTTTCTGGTTGTCCTGAGCCCTTAATTACCCAGCCAAACTCATCATTTGCTTAATTAGCCTTTCTTTCTTCTTGCTAAACTGTGGATTTTAAGATCCACAAGATTCCTTGAGGGGCCAATGCTGGGCTTCACAATCTGAGTTAACTACGTTAGGGCTCAGTACTCGATGTAGGATTTGAACCCACAACCCCTGGGTTCGGAGCCCAGAGCCCTACCCACTATCCCACCCTACTGCCCAGGCAGGTGCCCCACTCAGAGCTAACACAGAGCCACTAAGATCATGTGTTTCCTCCTGAACCTGCCTGTAGAAAACTCAGCTCTTGTTCAGGAGGAAGCAAACTAAGAATAAAACAAAAAGCCCTGGTTCAGTTTTACCGCTGCAGAATTTGGAATCGAAACTTCTATTCTATTTAAAGACAGTAACAGAGAAGCAGTAAACTTATTATTGTGGTTCTTATTAATGGATTTGGCAGGTGACTTTATCTGAAGTGCTTTGACCTAAAACAAAAAGGATACAGTTTACATTGGGACGCCTTTTAACAACACAGAAGTCAGAACGGTACAGAAATGCCTGCGAAAGAATATGACGTACCCCAGAATGATTTTTTTCCCCCCAACGCTAGCAGGTAAAGTGCTAGGAGACACTCTACGTAGTCATTGCATGTAAAAAAAAAAGAAAGAATGTTTTGTGCATAAAAAATAAATTCCAGCACACTGACCAGTACGTTTCTCACTTACAGTACACCCCAGTTAAATAATCAGTTACAAATGACAGCACACGTGTTGATGCATGTCCTGTACAATATAATTATGGGGGCAGCAGTGGGATTAGTGGCATTTGCCCCATGTGAAAAAGTCAAGATGTTTCTAAACGTATGCGAGTATGGGTAAAACAGATATATGTGTGTGGCGCTGTTAGTTTTATCATGACGAATGCTAGGCTGAGCAGGTGGGGTTTCTCGGTGTGGGCAGTCGAGCTCCAGCCCCGCTGGGTGTTGCAGTTCGTGACCGTCAGTGAGAAGGCGCTTGCAACAGGCTCTGTCCTCACTTCCTCGCCCTGCTGTCTGCTCGGCGAGCCTCTCTCTCTCTGCCTGCTGCTGTGCGTCTGTCTGTCGGCCTGTGACCCCCACATCTCTCTCTCTGACACGGCTGCGTCTCCTCATCAGGTGAGTCTCCGAGGTGCCAGGGGTCCGGTGCGCATTGCTGTGTGCCCACGGTGCGAAATCTGTTGGTTGTGCGTTCGATGGGCACACAGGACATGGACAGACACCACTGCCAGACTGGCTCTCGCCTTCTGGACTTCTTTCTTTTCAGCTCTTCAGCTTACTAGTGGCTGATCCATATCGGCATTAGTGTTTGCAGGTGATCGAGCTGTAGCCTTCCTTGGGTGATGTTTCCTCTTTGCTCTGTGGTGCAGCTGTACAGAAGACCGGTCACAAACAGGGGAGAAGGGTGCTTTTTGTCTGTAGCTAATCGATCCCAGGATCTCATCCAGCTGTTTCTTGAAATAAAGAAACGGGCTTCTACTTCAACAGCGTGGCTGGGCTACTTGTTCCGGACCCAGACCACTCTTTGTGTAAAGGACCAGCCCGAACCCTGCTCTCACAACCTTGTGTGAGCAGGTTGTGCAGCACATCTCTCGGCTGAGGAAGAGACGCAGAACAAGATGGAAATTTTGTTGCTTCATAGTTTCAGGGCTGTTTTATTGAAGATGGCATAACTTTGCAGCTACGCAAAACTCCGGCTGGGAAAATGTAAGGCTAGAATTTAGACTCCAGGGCTCTAGGATGTAAATGATCTAGAGCATAAGTTCTTGGAATAAAGTGCTTGGTTCTTCCTTCTAAAAAGTGCTCTTCTAAACTGGACGCGAGCTGTAATAGAAATTTTTCAAGTGATAGAAAATCTGGGCTTATTTCTGCACCAGTTCTGTAAGTAACGTCTGAGTGTTGGGGTGCGTGGTTCTGCTGGGGTGTTGAACTCAATGTTGGGGTGAGTTTGTTCTTGAAAGCAGCAGGTCTGGGAGCACCAGACGTCTGCAGTGCACGCTGTGCAGTGTGTTAAAGCCGGTGTGCTCGTGATAGAGGCTCCGTGAGGTCATCCAGTGCTGGTGAGAAGCGTGGGTGTGCTTCCTCATGCCAGTGAAAAGAAAGACCGACGGGCACAAGTGCTCACTACCGAGACCCTCAGACACCCATGGATGGGCACACAGCAACATTACTCAAACTGCTCGCGGGTGCCAGGCTGGTGCCCAGTGCTGTTTATGTCCACCTTTCCAGTGTCAGAGGTCAGAGCTGCACAAGCTGACTGATGGTTAACTGTCTGTCGAAACAGTAAGTGAGGCTTTGGGGAGGGAGCTGCCTATTGGATTTCACTGAACTAACACGGGGTACTTCGTGTCCCAAACTGCACTGTATGTGGTAACCATACCTACAGTGCACAGGAGTGAGCTGGAGATAGTGGGGAATTGGCTCATTTAAGACTGTCAATTATTATTCATCAGAAGTTGTGTCATAGCACAAATCCCAGGGAGAAATCGAGCTGGGCGTCCTTGTGAAGACCTGCAGTGTCCAGTGTGGAAGCCAGCAGGTGCAGGGCTGGTGTGTGTTTGCCCCCTGTGCCCTGGGCTGGGTGGGCTTGCTGGTGTGGTAGAGAGGAGATGGGAGTCTGAATGAGTAAGGCTGGACGTACTGGCCAGTGGTTCCAACCTGTGCCCAGGAGCTCCGGCCTCTTTGACTGCTGCTTGTGGGAGTGTGCCGAGCATCGAGGACACCTTGTACACTGACCTGCTGAAACAGCATCTTGCGTCAGCCCGTTCGCAAAACAGAGGCAAAGCATTGGGGGCGCCGTTTGCGCTCAGTTTTGGCTGTGATTGTGACACCAACAGACACACGCGGTGGAAGTCTGAAGCTTGGGGATATTTTCACATTAAATATGGTGGTTTCTCTGAACGCGATCGGTTAGTTTCTTCAGGTATCTGAACAATTTGAATACAGTTTTGAGGGTCATTTGTTGGGCTCACTGGGTTGCTAAGATCTTTGTAATGTTGAGCAGCTTGACATCTTGTCTCAACATGGCACAAGAAATCCAGTTTTGTCCCATATCCCCTCATCCCTGAATCCCTTCCCAACCCAGTTTGCAATATCTTGTATACTGTATATGTAAAGAACAATATTCTATATATACAGTATAATCGGTATTCTGTATGGATTTGTGCTTTCTCCAGGCATGTTTTTCTTTTTTTTTTAAGCTTCAGGTTTTCCTCATGCAAATTCGAAGGTGGCCTTTTCATTTGAAGGTGACAGTCTTGCACTGTCACTCTGAGATCAAGGAAGAAACAAGACGGTTCTCACAAGTGGGTTCTCTGAGGTCTGAGCACTGTAAGGTGTGAGCAGAGAGCTGTGGCGAACCCTCAGCCACAAAGTCGCTAGTGTCTGCAGTTTCCTAATCCTCTGCGCTCAACACGAAATCTAAGACCAAGACACCTCAAAGAGTGGAGGGGCCAGGTCCCGGGTGTGTGGGAGGTGTTTGACTGGAAAGCTAGCAGGATGTGTGTGGCGATTCTCCACAGTGCCATCAGGGTTTGAGAGATCAGCCGTGAAGCAAGCCACAAAGCTCTCTGCCCCCACTCCTCCCTGAGGCTCCTGGGAGAGAGCGGACCGGGCTTGATACTGGGTCCAGACGGACTTTTTTTTCCCTGGAACCAGTCCAAGATCAGTTAATATCTGGGGAACTGTGTCTCGCCTGAGGTGTTTCTCCTTTTACAGATTGCTGCTCTGCTTCCTTTACCAAACAGCTGCAGGAGAGTTAACAGGGCTGTTTTTTTCGTTTTAAGTAACCCGTGTTTCTTGTGACGGGGTTTTCATGCGCTCACTGTTCAGTAGCAAAGCGTCCTGCAGAACAGCCAGCGCGTGAGTCGGCAGAGGTGTCTCTCCTGGCCTGCACAGTGCGGCGCAACAGAGCGCGTCTGTGTGCCGTCGGGACCGATGCAGACGCGGGCAGGATTTCAGACCCGCCTGTTTCTCCTTCTGCAGCACGAGGTGGTCAGGGAGGTTTAGCACGAGTCCCTTAGGGCACAACACTAAGCACACAACGGAGGGGACACAAACACGGCGGTGACTAGCATGACCTTGGCTGCGTGTGTTGGGCGGGGCCCCGCGGAAAACGCTCGTCCATCTGGCTGGTATCCGTAGCGCAAGCGCCAGGTCGTTTGCCACATCGTGGCAAAGACGGGGCCGAGACGCGTCATGACAGGGGGGCTGGGCCTAGTTAAGTATTTGACTGCAGATTTCGGTGAAGGCCGCGGGCGTCCCATATGGCGGGGGGCTCCCAGGACTGCTGATGTGTAACGCGGTCCCCTCCCTCCCTCCCTCCCTCTCTGCTGTCTGCGTCTTGTGGCTGCAGGTGCGATGGGGAGGTGCGGGCCGTCCCTCTGCACCGGCGGCCGGACCTGCTGGCCGCGTGCGCCGACCTGCTGAACGCGGAGTGGCGGCGCAGCGCCGGGGCGAGGCGGCACTCCCTGGAGCAGTCCTGCGACGGCTTCCCCGTGAGCCTGGTGCTGCTGCAGGGCGCCGGCGCGGCCGAGAGGCTGCTGGGCCACGCCAGGCTGTCCCTGGTGGTGGGGCAGGAGGGCAGCCTGTTCGTGGAGTCGGTGGTGGTCGCGGCCGAGCTGCGGGGGCGGGGCTTCGGCCGCGCGCTCATGGAGGCGGCCGAGCGCTACGCCCGGGGGCGGGGCTTCCGCAGGCTGTGCCTCACCACCCACGACCAGCAGTGCTTCTACGCCCGCCTGGGCTACGGCCCCTCGCGGCCCGTGCAGAGCGCCGGCGCCATGACCGCGTTCGTGCCCATGGAGGTCCTGCAGAGGTTCTCGCGCCCGCCAGCGGAAGGGGGAGACTCGAGGATGGCGGCGGCGGCGGTGGCGGCACCCCTTCCCCGGAATGGCCCCCATTGCCTGTCTGTGACCACTCCCTCGCAGGCTCCTCCCCTGGACACGCCCACTGCACTACTGTTGGCCCCGCCCCTCCCCTCTCTCTCTTCTTCGGGTCCTCCTAAGGCCTCTCTGTGCCACCCCGCCACCCCTGCTCCTCCCCCTCCCCCCCTCTCCGCCCACCTCCAGCCCGCAGTCTCCTCGTCTTCCCCTCAGGCCGCGCTGGGGACGCCCTACAGGGATGCAAGGGGACGGCCCGTCTTCTGGATGCAGAAAGACCTCTGAGGGGACCCGGGATCCGGGATGTCGACCCAGGCAGGAGGAAGTCGTCTCCTTCGCCCCGCGGCGGTGAAGAGGGCGTCATGCCAAGCGGATCAACGTCAAGGTGGCACGATGGCGGGTTCGAACGTTGACCAGCGGCTAGGGAGGAGGAGGCAGGACGAGGACATCCAAGCCCTGGAGGCTCCCGAAGAAAATTCCCTTGGCACGCTGGGTGTGTAACCACCAGCCCGGGAAGAGAGCCTGGACACTAGTGCTACCGGACTCCTTTCACTCGTCCCGTATCGGACCTGCCAGCTGCCATGCGAGAAACGGCTGCGGGTTCGACACCAGCTGTGCCACCTGAGAGGCCTTCATCTTGGCAGCTGCGATATTCCCTTGTATTTTAATTTCACATTAAAACATCACTGAGCTTGACTTGAAAAAGACTCTTTATGTGTCTTTATGTGAGCATCCACAAGGGTGTTGTGCATCCTGTCTCCCTGCAGAGAGGTGCCTGGAGGCAGAAGCAGGATAGTTTCTGTTTCGCGTCCGTATTTAGGAAACCGCTGCGAAATGTTTCTAGAATCTGGCTGGCGGTACTGCAGCTGGGTCCAGCATCTGAAGTACTAGTGTTTGTACTGGTGGACTGGACCCCGGACTGGTGGTACCGGGCTTCTTCTAGAGGCAAGGCAGTGCCTGGAGTATCACATCCCCTGTTCTACCGCAGATGTCTGTATGACGTCGTGGGGTTTTACGAAACGCTGCAGTATAAACAGACGGAGCTTCTCGCGTTTAAAAGCTCCCCTGTGTCCCAGAGAGAAATGGAACCAAAATTGTTCAAAGTCTCCTGCTGCAGTATTTTAAGAGAACTTGAATCTACAGTATATCACCCTGCATCTCGCAACTGGCTGCCCACTGGAGCTCAGCAGTGTGAGCCTGGTCAGTACCTGGATGTGAGACTCCTGGGAAAGCTGAGGCTGCTGCTGGAAGAGGTGTTAGTGGGGCCAGTAGGGGTGCTTACCCTGCGGTCTGTGTGGGTCCTCATGCCCCAGTATAGTGATGGGGACACTTTACTGTAAAAAGGTGCCGTCCTTCGTATGAGAGATAAAAACCAAGGGCCTGACTCTCTGTGCTCATTAAAAATCCCAGGGCGTTTCTCGAAAAGAGTAGATAGAAAAGACTTTATTGATCCTGAAGGGAAATTGATGTTACAGCAGTCCAGCCCAACACAAGCAAAATAAAACAGACACCAGAATAGACGAAAAATTAGAATACGTACAGTAATACAAAATAAAAATAAAAAATAAATTAGGGGTGTAACCCTGGTGTCCTGGCCAAATCTCCCCCTGGCCTTTACCAGTCATGGCCTCCTAATAATCCCCCTCTCTTAACTGGCTCCATCACTCTGCTCTCCTCCCCACTGAGAGCTGGTGTGTGGGGGGCGGACTGGAGCATCATCCAGGTGGGGGTGCACACTGGTGGGGGTGGAGGGGATCCCCATGACCTGTAAAGCACTCTGAGTGGAGTGTCCAGAAAAGCGCTGTGTAAGTGTGCGGGATTATTACTGTTGTTTTATTGTTGAATTAGCATGGTGTGGTAACATAGACGTCGGAGAAATCGATTACAGGCGTAGAACAGAGAACAGGAGTCACTGCTTCGCCCAAAGGGTTGTAGGTGTATGAAAGGAGCTTCCCAGACCCTGGAACCAGTTGGCTGCTGGACCAGCTGGATGGGCCCAGTGTCCTCCCCCTGTTGGTGGCCTGTCTAGTGCTCCATCACACGCCTGAGCCCCCGTGCTGTCTCGCTCTCTGAGCCCGCGGGGTGTCGGGGGCACGTGGGCGCCCCAGTTTAACAGCGCTGTGTGTGTTTGCAGGAAGGACCATGCGGTGCGGAGTCCTGGCTCTGCTGCCGGGCCCGGGGCCGGCGGCGCTCGGGGGCGGCTCCGCCCTCCTCCTCCTCCTCGTCCTGCTGCCGGACGCCGGGGTCCGGGGCGACTCGGGGGCGCCCCGCGACGAACCGGCCGCCGCCTCCCCAGCCCTCGTCCCCCGCCGCCCCTTCGTGGTGGTGTGGAACATGCCCACGGCGCGGTGCCAGAGGCGGTACGGCGTGACCCTTGACCTGGACGCGTTCGACATCGTGGAGAACCGCCGGGGCAGGTTCCTGGGCCAGAACATGACCATCTTCTACCGCAGCCGGCTGGGGCTGTACCCCTACATCAGCGCCGGGGGGCGCGCCGTCAACGGCGGCGTCCCGCAGCAGGCCCCCCTGGGGCGGCACCTGGGCAAGGCGGGGGCCCAGATGAGGGCCGCCCTGAACCCCGACTTCCGCGGGCTGGCCGTGATCGACTGGGAGGAGTGGCGCCCCCTGTGGGCGCGCAACTGGGGGCGCAAGCAGAAGTACCGCCAGGCGTCGGAGCAGCTGGTGAGGGCGCGGCGCCCCGAGCTGCCCGAGGGGAAGGTGGCGCCCCTGGCCCGGCGGGAGTTTGAGGCGGGCGCCCGAGAGCTCATGTCCCGCACCCTCGATCTGGGGGTTCAGCTGCGGCCCGGGGGCCTCTGGGGCTTCTACGGGTTCCCCGACTGCTACAACTACTACAAGGGTGGCGCCGGCTACTCCGGGCGGTGCCACCCCGGGGCGCCGGGCCTGAACGACCGGCTGGACTGGCTGTGGCGCCGCTCCACCGCCCTCTACCCCAGCGTCTACCTGACGCGCCGGCTGGGCGCCTCCGGGGCCACCGCCCTCTTCGTCCGCCACCGGCTGCTGGAGGCCATGAGGGTGGCGTCCAAGTCCGGCTCCGCCCGCGGGGCGCGGCCCGTGCTGCCCTACGCCAGGGTGGCGTACGCGCACACGCTCCACTATCTCAGCCAGGTAGGGCTCGGCGGGCGGACCCCACCTCCCCCGGTGGGGTCGGGTTCGATTTCCTGGGAGCTTCGGTCTCAGGTCGGCGGGCCGCTGGGTTTTAAGAAGCCTCTGCTTCTTTACAGAGGCAGAGCGCCGCAGACGAGGCACAGACAGACGGCGTGATGCGTGGGGGGGAGGGCGGGGTGACGTTCTGTTCTGCTTTGAAAACTCTTGTTTGGAGCTTCTCCGTCCAATTGGAACAAAAAAAAACCACTGAAAAGTAGCTTTTGAGGCTGGTTTGGCTCAACCTGGGACAATAATTCATGCCGTCAGATCAGCGATTGCACCCGGTGCACCTGATCCCCTGGCCTCCGCTGACAGACCACAAATCTGTAGACACATCCTGATCGTCACTGTTTATAGATAGACCGGAGGGGGGGGCTGGGAGAGTGAGCTGCTTATAGTGACAAAGGAAGTAGCTGCACGGCAGAGAATTCGCACAACAAAACCTTAAACCCTCAGTGGTCACGTCAACACCATCTTGGCGAGAGCAGCCCGTGCCGAGTTGTTTTCACGCCTACTGTAGGTGAGTTTGCAGCACGGCATCTTTTAATGCTGAAGTAGCTGAAGGAGGGAGCTGCGTGTGGGCTGCACAGGAACAAGTTAAGGGTTTATTCCAGGCTGAAAAGAGACGAAAGGAAACACCTTCCTTCTCTTGTCAGCATCGTTTAACGCTGCCGAGCAATGCCTCAACTTGGCCCAGAAAGGCCAAACTATAAGTTCAAGCACAGCCTGCCGAGCAGCTGGACCCAGATGATACATTGCTGGAACAGGGGACAGCGGCTGCAGGGGGCCGGGGGGCTCTGGAGCACACTGCAACGCTCCTGTGGGCTCCGTGGACGGCCACCTGTCGCTCCCAAAAGAGCTGGGGTTACAGGCCCTGGCCAGCAGGGGGAGGGGGGCGGGGCACATGGGCCTGTTTCTGCACGTCTCCTCATTCACTCCTGCTGGGGCTCCCTGTGGGATCTGGGTTTGGAGTGAACGCGCCGTCACACGCCAGGAATAGATCTCGGTCCTGCGGGGGGCTTCACGGCCAGACGCCGTTTTCCCATCATTACTCAGTGCCACAGGCCGGCAGTCTGTACCTCTGACAGCCAAGACTGCCTGCACTCCCTGCGGGAAAACCGTGTTGTGCTTCCCTTTCCGACCTGTTCCAGCCGCCTGTGAGTGTGGATGTCGGAGCAGGGGAGACTGTCAAACTGTCAGAACAATCCAGTTCTTTGTTTTAAGGATAAAACAAGCACAGCTCCGCTCAGAGAAGGGTTATAGTGTCTGTGAGACAGTATACAAGATTCCTGAGACACAAGCGGAGTGAGAGACAGGCAGGAGTGACACACAGGCAGGAGTGACACAGTCAGGAGTGACACACAGTTTCAGCCGCAGGCAGTATGAGACATGGACATTGTGAGACACGGACATTGTGAGACGTGCGCATTGAGAGACACGGGCAGGGGTGACGCGCAGCAGTGTGAGATACAGGCAGGAGTGACACACAGGCAGTTTCAGACACAGGCAGTATGAGACATTGACATTGTGAGACACGGGCAGGGGTGACACACAGGCAGTGTGAGACGCAGGCGGGGGTGACACACAGGCAGTGTGAGACGCAGGCAGGGGTGACACACAGGCAGTGTGAGACGCAGGCAGGGGTGACACACAGGCAGTGTGAGACGCAGACAGGGGTGACACACAGGCAGTGTGAGACGCAGACAGGGGTGACACACAGGCAGTGTGAGACGCAGGCAGGGGTGACACACAGGCAGTGACTGTGTCGTGCTGGTTCCAGAGCGAGCTGGAGCAGACGCTGGGAGAGAGTGCGGCGCTGGGGGCGGCCGGCGTGGTGCTGTGGGGAGATCTGAGCTTCGCTGGCTCCAAGGTCAGATGCCGCCTTACGTTCATCTTCATCTAAACATCTGTCTGTCTTTCCATAATTTTATACCACTTTATCTGCTCCCGGGCCCAGTCCAGCAGGGCTTTCTGAAGACAGGATAATTTCATTGTAATCAGTCAAGCAGGAGATTGGTTACATTAAGTAATTTTTGGAACAAAACTCTTCATACCCAAAATTAAATTAATTTCTTAATGAATAAATCAATAAGCCATCACTGCAGTGATTACTGTCAGTCTGTCTCTATGGCCTGTGCTGATGACATCACTTTGGTGATAACTGTCAGTCTGTCCCTGTGGCATGTGTTCATGACATCACTGCAGAGTGTGCTGATGACATCGCAGCAGCGATTACTGTCAGTGAGTGGCATTTCAGTCTGTGGCGTGTTCTGATGACATTACTTCAGAGATTACTGTCTGTCCCTGTGGTGCGTGGTGGAAACATCA